GCTTGGGTCAGGCGCACCTTAGTCCTCAAGCTGACATCTCTGCTCTTCAACACTTTTAAAAGTTCCTGTGCAGCAGATTTGCCCAATGCAATATGGTGTCTGATCTCTTGACTGCTGCTTCCCTACCTGAGGAGCTAGTGTTGTATTTCCCAAAACTCATGATGTATGTAGAAATTCTGGCCTCCCAGAAAAAGACATTTAAAAAAAGAATCAAGATTCTTTGAAAGTTTAAAGAAACTTGACCAAAAGACAGTACAAAAACACCGGCACTTGAATGTTGAATGTTACTGTGTACGTGAATTTATATGCTTCAGGGTAGTGTGAGCTTTTAACGTTAAGTCATATTAAACTCTTAAGCCAAATTCAGCAGACCAAGCATTGGCAGTGTAGCCATAACTTTCTGATGTTAGTAAAAACAAAACTGGTGACTTGAAATTAAAACATGCCAAGGTTTTGATACACTTGTCTTAAGATATTAATGAAACACTTTAAAACACTGATATGAAGTGTCCAGATTCTCAGATGTTTCTTGCATGAGTTTTGTTTAGTTGTATTTTTTTCTCAGTGAATGTCTGGCACTTTGCAATCCTCAAACCTGTGGTTATCTTGGTTGTATTGGCATAATCAGTGACTTGGACATTCAGCGATAGCATTAGAGCAAGTTTTCTCAGCGAGCAATATTTTCAGTTAATATTTCAAAAATCATGTAAGAATAGATTTAAACTTGCTGAATGTAAAAATTGAAGCTCAAGTCACTGTAGCTTTTGTAATTGCTTCCTGTATTAGTTTAGATGCTAGCACTGCATGTACTGTGCATATTCTGATTTTATTAAAATTAAAAATTAAACTGCACAGTCTCCTTTGTTGCTGTTGATTGTGGTTTATTAGGAGAGGTGAAAATAAAGTGCTTTTGCCTGGAAAAAAAAAAAAGTCAAGAGATTTTCCTGGTGATTTTGTGGGAAGAAGAGCATCTGTGTCATGTTTGTTGTTGTCAGGTGCCATCAAGTC